TACTACAACAACACGCCCTAGCGACGCTGCTGCCACCTACAGGTGGGATGACTCACCGTCATAGCGGCGATGTCTGCGCGCGCATTCTCGTAAGTGCTATCCAAGATGGCATTAAGTCTTCCGATGTAGCAAACACCCGCGTAGCGATTCTTCTGCGCCAGAAAACCCTGCAATCGTAAAGAACCACCACCGTGGTGTAAACTGCCGAGGGTGGACACGGCATCCGTTGTCCTGATTTCTTTCTCCCCGCGCCATGTTCCCACTCTCTTCTGCGTTTTCTCGCTTTCCGTCTCCCTGTCCGTTCCATGTCAAGCTCGCTCTTGTGTATCTTTAGCTAGGGCACGCGCTCGGTCGCTTTCTATATGTCGCTCTAAACACATTCTCTATCTTTCACTCTCTCTCTCTCTCTCTCTCTCTCTTTCTCTCTCTCTCTCTCTCTCTCTCTCTCTCTCTCTCTCTCTCTCTCTCTCTCTTTCTTCCTCTCTTTTGTGAGCGTTTAATAAACTTACCGATTTCCTTACTATACCGCGCCATTGGAGTAGAAAAAGCGACGTATTAGCCTATTTTATCGTGGTTCTCTGTCTGCGCATGCACACGAGCCGGACACGGGCGCGTTTATCCACAGTTGGATTTGCTGAGAGCAATTTCTGGTGCAATTCACACGTAGTTGGTACACGGTGTTCAGCATGGATTGGGAGAACGGACCTCGCTCAGAAATTTCTGCTGAAGTATTTGGCACAGCGAATGCCGTCACTGAACTACGTGATGTCATTTCAGAGCGCAGCCGCGTTATGTAACACGGTGTTGGCTCGGGGCAGATAATGACGTCATTGCCTTGTAAATCTACTGCGGCCCCCACAGGTGAGGGGCAGGCGGTTGGATAGTAGTAGTGGGGTAAACAAATGAAAGCTTGAGAAGCGAGACAAAAATTATTATAAATTAAATTAAAATTATCTAACACGGTGTTAGCTGAGGGCAGATAATGACGTCATTGCCTTGTAAAAATGAAATGTTTTTTGGAAGATCTTGACATGACTGACGCGATGACATCATCGAAAGCTACGATCACGGTGAACGAACATCTGACAAAACACATACAGGGGTGCGCTGTTTGCGCGTTGTGTCATCGAAAATGACGTCATAGTCTATCTTTACATCGTCATCGCCAACGGCCGTGTAGTGACGCTCAAGAAACCCGGCTGCCGACGACAGAACGTAACGTCACGAGACGGGAAGATGCGGAAGCGGGTTGTCGTGGAAACGCGCGAACCGAGAACCGCCATAAGCGTTGGGTGGAAGTTTTCCTTATGCGCCACCAGGTGGTGGCACTTGCCCGCGCACGATAAATTTGCACTTTTGTGTTGAAACGTCGAGATTTTTGTGAAATTCCGCGTGTTATTAAAGGAAAGAGTAGGAGCAGGAAATAGTTTCTGAATGAAGCATGGTATAGAATATCGAATTGATTGTGAACACATGCGTGTGCGTATAATACACACACATATATATATATATATATATATATATATATATATATATATATATATATATAAAACAAATTCAAATAATATGGTATTTAAGTTTTAATACGCGAGCTTTCGAGATGTACATCTCTTCATCAGGCAATTCAGCAGATATGTCTGCTGAACATGAGTACATAAGCGGGGGCCAAAACACACACCAACCAGCTTCCAGAATCACAAGCAAACGGTTTTATACTCCCCCCTCTCCAACCCTCAACCCTCCTTAGACGTGTGAAAACCAATCCCCTTTATCCCCCACACGAGCTGCAGAATGGGTCTATGACGTCGTCAACACATCAATACACATATATACTACACGTATACAGACCACATTGACCCTATATGAACCCTCTACACACGTCACGCATTGTGTGTGACGTCATACTCACCTCGTCAGTCAATAGCCGCGTTCACACGGAGCACTTTGACCCGGGTCAAATGCGTCCCGGGCCAAGCGTTCACACGGAACGTTTTTTTTCGGTACGAAAACGACCCGTGTCATTTTGACCCGTGTCGTTTTCGCACCCACTCTGGAGTGTTGTAATGTTGTCAATTTGGAAAATTTGGAAATGTGGAAAATTTGTAATGTTTATATTAGTTTAGAGTTGATAGGTAGAGATTGCAGTTGATATTCTTATTGATCAAAAACGGCACGGAGCGTCGTTGAAAAGAGCGTTCGCACGACGTTTGATCGATCTGTTCTTGTATATATTGGACATATCCAAGACATATCCATTCGTGTAGAGACATGTCCAAGAACTGATCGATCAAACGTCGTGTGAACGCTCTCTTCAACGACTCTCCGTGTCGTTTTTGATCCGGGTCAGTGAACGCGGCTAATGTCTGCTGAAGTGCCGGATGAAGAGATGTACATCTAGAAAGCTCGCGTATTAAAACTTAAACACCCTTAACCTATTATTTGAATTTGTTTTTTAGCTACATGTGTGTTCCTGTGTGATTTTACTTCTCTCTCTCTCTCTCTCGCTGTGATGATTTTACTTCTCATTCTCTCTCTCTCTCTCTCTCTCTCTCTCTCTCTAATATATATTATAATATATAATATATATAATATATATATATATATATACTGCGCGGCGCGCACCCACACACTTTATTCTTGCATATGTCAGGTGGCGGCCATATATATATATATATATAATTATATATATATATATATAATATATATATATATACCCATGAAAAAGTCTTGCTTCACAGTTGTCAATAGAGAAGATAGCTCCAAGCGCGACACTCGACAAACGTTGAGGTGAGTGATCCACGAGCGCATATGAATAGCTTACAAGGTCGCACGCGCTACGTATGTGAACCAGGCTTGCTTGCCGATGATGACGTCAGACGCGCGCCCTCGCAAAGGACAGAAAGATGCGATATGATATGACTACTAGGCAATTAAATTTATATTTAAATTTTTTTTTTTTTAGGGTTAGGGTTAGGGTTTAGGTTAGGTTTAGGGTTAGGTTAGGTTAGGGTTAGGGTTAGGGTTGTTTTTTTTTTTAAGTGCCTAGTAGTCATATCCTAGAGGCCTAGTAGTCATATCATATCGCATCTAACTGCCGGTGCCGCGCCCTCGTTGCTGCTGTCGCTCGCACGTTTGGGTAGATAGACATTGTTGCCGCCGCTGATGGCGCTGGCGGTCGATCATGGTCGTGTACTGCTTCTCGGAAGGCCAAAATGTTATATCGCCAGCAGGAGGGTTGTTGAACTATTATTATAATGGCGAAAAGGCGGCGTGCGTGCGTGACATGCTTGTAGTTAAAGACGTAGTTCATACACACACAACACACACACAACACAACACACACACACACAACACACACACACACACAAACACACCACACACACACACGCGCTACGCGCGCGCCAGCAGCACGCACGCACACACACACACAGACACACGCACGCACGCACACACACACACACACACACAGCACCGCGCGCGCGCACGCACACACGCCACACACGCACACACGCACAACACGCACACACGCGCGCACGCACACACACATACACACACATCACACACACACACACACACCACACACACACACACACACACACACACACACCACACACACACACACAAACAAATTATTCCGAGGTCACAGCAAATTCGTAACCTGCTGTTTGTAGTTCCAGTAACGTTCCTGGTAGCGAACAAAATCCGGCGTACAACTCTCTCTCTCTTTCTCTCTCTCTCTCTCTCTCTCTCTCTCTCTCCTCTCTCTCTCTCTCTCTCTCTCTCTCTCTCTCTCTCTCTCTCTCTCTCTCTCTCTCTCTCTATATATTATATACTATCTATTCTCTCTCTTCTCGCTTTCTCGCTCTCTCTCTCTCTCTCTCTCTCTCTCTCGCTTTCTCTCTCTCACTCTCGCACTCACTGTCCCTTTTTCTCTCGCTCTCTCTCTACTTAGCTCTCACTCTCTTTTTAGCTCTCGTTCTGCTCTCTCCTCGCTCTCTCTCGTCTCGCCTCACTCTCTCTCTCGCGTCTCTCTCTCCCTCGCTCTCTCTCTCTCTCTCTCTCTCTTCTTCTCTCTCTCTCTCTTCCACTCCTCTGGATCCCTTCTTTCGCTGTCTATTCCCTTTTCTTTCCCTTCTATCGAGTCTATTATGTATTCCTATCAAACAAGGATGTTTGACAAGGAAACGAAAGGCATATATAATATATAATATAATATATATATATATATATATACTATATAAATATATTAATAATATATATTTATATATATATATAGACGATGTGAACACCTTGTTACTTAGCATTCGATGAGCTTTGGCACTCGCCGTCAACGTTTAGAATCCCGCGAAAAGTCGCAAAAACGACGTTTTTTATGAAACAAAAAACACTAACGCGAATCTAATGATCCACTTCGACCGCGCCACCCTAACCTAAGTGTCACGTGACTTTACTGACCAATCACATTGCCAGAGCAGTCACGGTTGACCACTTTTAAAATGCTCTGACATAAAAACGTTCTGACAAAATTCGGCCAGCGAAAGCAGAAAGCAGTTTAACTATCGATGATGATGACGTCATCGTATCCGGCTGCCTCCTTGTTTAATGTACGACAAGATGGCGGAAAAAGTATTATTTCTCTCTGTTGGTTGCATCGTGTACATCTTTGACGTACGAGAATGTTTGAAGGCACAAGATATAAACGAATAACAAGGGATCCGATCTACCGTAACCGTTATTTTATTATTACACCCAACCAGACATCCATTGATGAAATTGCAACTGAAGATTACTATCTTATCTCACGATTTAAGCTCAATGATTCCAATTGAAATGATTTGATCATAATTTCATCTATCAATGATCCAATATATAATTATATATATACCGTAATTTTTTCGGCCAATTTATTACATGAATTTATGGTAATACGTTATCGTATACTTACTTATTGATGATTGTTAGCTGGAATATGGCGAACTTATTCTAATATTCTTGAGGCTATCATAGCATCCTTCTAACAACAGCATTCCAGTGTTAAACCAGGCACCATCCCGTATTCACGTTAATTATGCTGTGACGCAATAATAAACAGCAATTAGTGGCGCAATCAAATATCAATGCGTGCAACGCTGATTAGCTGACGTCACGGTAATCCGTGAGTGACGTCATTCGCAACTATATGCTAATCTACTACGATTCGATCACGAACCAGAATTAGAAATTCGGTCTCACTCTATCACGTGATCGCCTGAGCACGTGAAACATTAAATCAACATGGCGGCGACAGTTAACAATGTCCGTTAGATGACATGTGACGTCGGGGTCATGGCCTTGAGTTGGAGTTTCCATGACCTTGAGCCTGCCCTCATTAGTAAAACTGCAACGAGAATTCATATATAAACACAGACACTCCATGTGCCCTTAATCACATCCACACACACACACGCACACACACACACACACTCACACACACACACACACACACACACACACACACACACACACACACACACACACACCACAGCAATCCAAGAGATTTGGAAGGTTAGTGATCAAGTTAAATTCTTGGGAGACAGGGGCTTGAAATGAATGAAGAAAAATGCCAGAGAATGAATTTCAAGGCACGTGTCATAAGTTGTGTGAATAAGAAATGAGTGTATGAATTCGGGGATCGGGTTAACAGTCCAGCGGCTTGTCTAAGACTGAATGGGTCAAACATAATCAATATATAAATATATATTGATATAGATATTGGATAGGAATCAAACATAGAAGAAATACTTTACGGGGACAAGTGGTAGTGAACAATTTTAAGGGGTGAATTCAATCATCTATGTTGTAGAGGGTTTCGTTCGAGTGTATCTTACGCCAAAGTAAGCCCTTGATCCGTGCCGGTTGCATGCATTCGCCTTATTACAATTGATGGTTACGTCCTTCGGATTTCTCTTGGTTCTAACGCCCGTCGCTTCTGTAATTGTATAAATGGTTTGTTATTGCACGTGTAGATGGCGATATACTCTAGAATTTTAGACTGTATTATGATAATAAGTGCATGAATAATAGTAGGTACCTACCGATTTTTATAATCACGCATCAACATTTGTCTTAAAACAACAGTGAGTTTCGAAATCGTTATTTGTGACTGCTGACATGACACCCCGCGATTTGGCTACAACTTTGACAAAGTTGCACTTTTTCCGATTTATTTTGCACGTTACAGACAAAGGGCTAATTAGATTAGTGCAATTCTATTTATACCTATCTGTTATTTAACCGAACGATTTTTATTTTTGGACAAATTCGTCCATACTAAAAGTTGTGTATACGATATTGCAATCCTCCTCGTCTTAATTTAATACATAAGACACACCCTCGGTCTGTAGCTTTCAGCCAAATGTTGCGATGCGCAACGTTGTCAGTGGATGCGCTTGTAGTGGCGCCACCGTCGTTGTACGCAACGGTATAGTTTAAAAACATTAAAAAAATATTTCTAATGAATACTGATCAATGAATTCTTATGTAGCGTAATATAATCTATTTTATTAGAAAAATATGCAAGGAACCTAATGTCATGTCTTCCATTAATTGCATTCTGGCCTCGTGTTTGATTAACTCCGCCATGTTGAATTTTGGTCTCGCTTTCTCTTTCTGGCCTGCCATTGCATTACCACCCTAATAATTACACCACAACCTCCACCACCAACATCATTATCGTTTCCATCGCCAACAGCGACATCACCGTCGTCGTCGTCATCGTCGTCGTCGTTATCACCACCATCATCGACATCATCATCATCATCGTCGTCGTTGTCATCGCCGTCAATATCTTCACCATTATCACTATCATCATCGTCATCATCGTCGTCATTATCACTATCTCCATCATCATCATCATCATCATAATCATCATCATCATTATCACCATCATCATCGTCATCATCGTCGTTGTCGTTGTCGTCATCATCGTCGTCACCTTACCTGGTCGTTGGTCCTCGGGTACAGGGAAGAGCCAGTAGCTGGGCATGTCCTTACAGAACTCAGCAATGTCATCACCGGCGACATCCTTAAGTACTAGAGGTCCGATAGGACGGCTGTCGTACCCCATGTCGATGTATTCTGGCATGGGGGCGGTCATACCCTCCTGGTGGTGAATGAAGGGGAAAGGGGAGGCGTTAGACAAGCTATGTTATCGTGAGCACATCTGTACAGTGTTAAAGCGTAGCATATGCCGAAATTTATCCAGATCAAGTTGTGTTCATAAAGTGGTGTGTGTGTGCATGTGTCTCCGAGGCAAGACATACATAGATAAACGACAACATACATACAACACATATCAACACAGACACCACATACACACAACATATGTCAACACATATGAACACATACACAACATATACACAACATATGTCAACACATACACAACATACATACAACATATGTCAACAAATACAAAATATACTTACAACACATCAACACATTCACAACTTATATACAAAATATGTAAAAAAAATAATATGTATACAATATATATCAACACAAACCTGCCATGCATACAACAGATATAAATATATACACAGCATATATCAACACATACAAAATATATATACAACATAATTATATCAACACATACACGCCATACGTTCAACGTATATCAACACATAGAATCACACATACCGCATGTATCAAAACATAGAAATATACACACAACATTAGCAACACATACTCGCCATACATACAACCTATATCAGTAAATACACAATACAAAAATGTGATTATTAGAAATTAAAATAATATTATAATTAAGAGAATAATTTCTTGGCATTGTTATTGATCTGTTATGGCTAGGAAAATGGTTAGTGTTAGGGTTAGGGTTAAGTTAGGGTAGCAGTTAGGGTTAGTACTAGGCTAAGGATTTTGACTGAAGGAAGGCGGTTTTCCCTCTCGCTCTACTCAATTCCTCGATTGCTCACGACAAATGTCACCGCTACCCAGACGACACGGCCTAGCGACGCTGCTGCCACCTACAGGTGGGATGACTCACCGTCATAGCGGCGACGTCTGCGCGCGCATTCTCGTACGTGCTATCCAAGATCGGGTCGAGTCTTTTGATGTAGCATATGTCCGCGAAGCGATTCTTCTGCGCCAGAAACCCCTGCAATCATAGAGAAACCCCAATGTGGTGTAGACTGCCGCGGTGGTAGAACTGTGTTTTTCATATACAGTTCACATACAGTTCACATCACAT